CACTGGAGAAGGAAATGGCAACCCACTCCAGTATCCTTGCCAAGAAAACCCCATGGACAATGTTAAAAGGCTAAATGCAAAGAGAGATCTCTTTGGAGAAGACCCTGATGCTGGGAAAGATTGAAGGCAAAAGGAGAAGAGGACGGCAGAGGATGAGATGGTTAGATAGCATCACTGAAGCAATGAGCATGAAACTGAGCAAACTCAGGGAGGCAGTGAAGGACAGGAAGGCCTGGCGCAATATGGTTCATGGGGTCACGAAGAGTCGGACACGACTTAACGACTAAACAACAACAACAAGAGTCCCATATACCACAATTGGAGAAGGTTGCCCTGAAGATTACATGTCCCCAGCAGGTTTTTTTCCCCTCCCATTAAACCAGTGTTTCTCAATCTTGGCGATTGTGAGTCGGGGGGGCTTCCAGCAGCGAAATCCCCAAGCAAGAAGGGCTGGCTGGGGAATTCTGCGAGTTGAAGCCCACGCATCTTAAAATGGCCAAGATTGAGAAACACTGGTTTAATGGGAGGGGAAAAAAACCTGCTGGGGACATGTAATCTTCAGGGCAACCTTCTCCAATTGTGGTATATGGGACTCTTGTTGTTGTTGTTTAGTCGTTAAGTCGTGTCCGACTCTTCGTGACCCCATGAACCATATTGCGCCAGGCCTTCCTGTCCTTCACTGCCTCCCTGAGTTTGCTCAGTTTCATGCTCATTGCTTCAGTGATGCTATCTAACCATCTCATCCTCTGCCGTCCTCTTCTCCTTTTGCCTTCAATCTTTCCCAGCATCAGGGTCTTCTCCAAAGAGATCTCTCTTCGCCATAGCTTTCCTCCCAAGGAGCAAGCGTCTTTTAATTTCATGGCTGCAGTCTCCATCTGCGGTGATCTTGGAGCCCAAATAAATGAAGTCTGTTACTGCTTCCATTTCTACCCCTTCTATTTGCCAGGAATTGATGGGTCCAGATGCCATGATCTTAGTTTTTTTAATGTTGAGTTTCAAGCCAGCTTTTGCACTCTCCTCTTTCACCCTCATCAAGAGGCTCTTTAGTTCTTCTTCACTTTCTGCCATTAGGGTGGTATCGTCCGCATATCTGAGGTTGTTGATGATTCTCCCTGCAATCTTGATTCCAGTACAGCCAGCATAAATCTATTTGGCTAGGTGGCAGTGATACAGCACCATACCTGGAATGCATCAGGTAGAAGAAACCTGATTTGGGATTTTTGATAACTCCCACCATGTGTTTTCCATTAAAATTCCCCCTTTAACTCATATACTGCTTTTATTTGTAACTTCAGAGTGTTGATTTAAAAAAAAATCCACAAACAAAATTTGACATCTTTTTGGCTTAGTAAGTTCTGTGCCAAAATAGGTATTGCCATGCTAAATGTGCATTTTTAAGAGGTTATGGGTTGTGGGGGAGTTGTTTTTTTCCTGCAAGTACAGTGGGATCTTAAAGCAGAAGTGGGGAAGTAATGGGGTAATAGTGATACAGAAGAATAATTTCCAGCTGCTGAGATAAGGTTTTATGGATTAGAGCCTGCTGTTTCATCATCATCTGTTGGCAAATAAGTACATGGGCACAGGATGAAAAGAGAGAGTAATAAACGGCACGACTGCCGTGGCACTGAATGTTATGTCTGTGAGAGTTTCTGGTTCAGTGAATCTTGCTAGTTTTAATCAGCCACACCATGTAGCTAGTTCTGCAGCACTTGTTTGACACTGCCACCTCTCTGGAATTTGGGTCAAGCAAGCAAGCATAAAACTGAATTGGTGAAACTATCTGTTGACTTCCTGTGGAGACCTTATCCTTTGCCTCTTTACTTCTAGCCATTTTTAAAATCATAAATTGTAGCATGGACCGCTGATGAGCTCAATATCACTGCAGCAGTAAAAAACAGCAGGGCTATAATCACGTTTGGTATAATATTGGTTTAATCATACCTTGGTTGCTGGATTTTAGTGTTTTACAGAAATGGGGTGGTGATGGTTTCCGCTTAGTCTCCATTGGATTCTGCAGACTTTCAGAGCTGTGGTTTGATAATAACCCAAATCAACTTCACTCTTGGTATACTATTCATATGGTACATATTTTATATTTCATTTATTTCTGACATGAGTTTTCTACCTAAGGAACTCCAGGCAGTTTACATGGGGGTCACTTCTCCTTTTATCCTCAGCAACAATCCTGTGAAGTAGGTTGGCCTGAAGTCTTCTAGTGATCTTCATGGCTGAGTGGGAATTTGAGCCTGGTTTTTCCTGGTCTCGGTCAAACACTGACCCAGGATCCCCAACAGAGTATTTGGGGGATTCAAGGATGCTGCTCTTGGTTCTTATTTTGTGCCCTGTCTGACAATTTACATTCATTAAAAACTGTTTTAATTTTTTTAAAAATGGGAAACTGGCTTATTATAAAGCAGAACGCCTACCTCCAAGATAACTTTTATTTGCAGAAGTGCCTCTGGCCTTTAATTTTCCTTAGGAAAATGACTAATGAGTAACTGCAGTGCCGTATTTTGTTTAATTGTGTGCCCAAAAGGACAAAGATAGCAGAAAGGTTTGGGAACGTTGTGTATGAAATGAGATGAGGGTGATAGGTAGCATTCTGTTAAATGGGCATTTCATAACTTGTTACAACTCCATGGCATTTATTTTGTGAAGCCATGGAGTAATAGTTCCCACAGTCCATTCCCAAAATTCTGAATGTGTCCAACCAACTCCTTAAAGGTTGAGGCCCTCTGCTCCAGCCACTACCCCACACTGGGTCTCCACCAGACATCAAATTAGCTTAAGAATCCTGTTTGGTCCTTCTGTGTTATAAAAAGTACCATACAACCTCAAGTTTAACAAGTCTCAGTTTAATGGACTTTGGATACAATGGACAATGAGTCCAGGCATCTCCTCAAAATAGTTGATAATAGTTGTACTAATTATAGGAGAGTACTGGGAAGATTCTGGTGTGAGCAGAAAGATTGGAACTTGGGGGGGAAAACGGGGAATTTGGGCTGCTGGGATGGGGCAAAAGAGCAAGATTGGGGAGGCCTCATTTGTGGACAGCTGTAAAAAAATGCCACTCTGGGAACATACCACTCTGGGAGATATTAACAGAACAAAAATGGTAGCTCTACGAGGGAGCCTTGCTGGCTGAAAGAACCAAAAGGCCGGCTGAATGTTTTTGCACAAGCGCATAATAGCTGGCTGGCTTTTTACACACATAAATATGAAAGTGTCTTTTGGATTTAACAGACTTACAGGATTAACGGACACCCCCCCCAAATGTTCTGTTAAATTGAGGCTTTCTTGTACATGTTGCTATGTGGTTCCACTGTTGCTTTGCATATTTATGTAGCCTTCATAAAAGTTGCTACAATGTGCTGCTGTGGTGACCCTCCCATGAGTAGAATTGTTCAGAATTGGGGGAAATAGTTTTATGCCAGCTTTTTAAAATCAAGCATCGTTCGCTCAGCAAAGTGCTGATGTTTCCTCGTTAATAGCTTAAACTAAATATTTTACATATCCGTCTTTGAAGAACTGGACACTGCCTCGGTGCTGAAGCTCTCTTCTTAGATGTAGCATCCAGAAGCTCAGATTTACCACTAAATTTCTCCCACACACTCTCCATGGAAACAAGCATCTTTCATGGTCCAAAAAGCTGGATAATTTTTTTCTTCTGGGCAGACCTCAGGACTGTACGTTGCCAGTGGAGTGTAAGGGAAGGGGCATACCTCTGCAAGAAGCACGCATGTATTATACATAAAAATAACCCATCTTGGGTGAGGCTACAATCAGCTGCCCTTTGGGGTTGAAAATGGGCCCTGTGCTTGAGTTTATAAATGAGTAAGGTGAGGTTGGGGGCTGCCTGGGATACCGTTTGAAGTCCATTATCATAGGTCATCTTTGATATAGGCTAGCCTTTCTGTTTTATTGTTGTACGTTGCCCAGAGTTTTTATGGAGTTGAATGGCCTTCTAAATTTAACAAATAAATAAATAAATAGCCATGTTCAGGTACATTGTTGTTGTTGTTTAGTCGTTAAGTTGTGTCCGACTCTTCGTGACCCCATGAACCATATTGCGCCAGGCCTTCCTGTCCTTCACTGCCTCCCTGAGTTTGCTCAGTTTCA